CACATGGGATCCGACCCCTCGGCGGGAGCGCTACCACACTCCCAAGCGGCGCACTCTCCAGTGCGCCACCGGGCCAGCCCTACACTTGCTTTTCTTATGAGAATGACTACTTCAAAATTTCAGCAAATATTGTCATTGTGTTTGCACATTCCTAGCCCCTGAATCTATGCAGTTTGCTGAGGAATAGAAAACACTGGCCCATGTTTGGAATTTCTCATGGAATGTTACTAAAACATCTGGTAGACAAGATTAGTCCACTTTGTTTCTGACTAAACTTAGTGAGTACATTTAAATATTTTTCTAGATTTCTCCAAATTAATGAAGTGGTCACAACTATGGAAGTTAGTAATATATCCACTATAAATAGGGCAAAAAAAAAAGATGGAAAATTTTAGCTTAGTGTCCTGACTAAATTACGTCTAATATTATTTAAAAATAAGATAGAAAGTGATGAATTAGTAAATGAATACAAAACAAACCAGCAAAAGATTTTGCTTGGAATTTTCTATAGGCGTCAATATACAATAGAGAGGTTTGAAATAAGCTTTTAATATGATTCAATACATATAATAATGGATCATATTCAATGCTAGCCTTTCCCCAAGCTGAGACAACTCTAAGTGAGAACACTTTAAGCTCTCATCACCTCTAGAAGTGATGCGATGACATAGCTCTAGAGGGAAGAATGAAGTTACACCCTCCTTGCATTTTCCATTAGCAAACAAACTTAAACTTCCAGAAAAATACCTGTAATTATTTCACATGAGTACTCAAGTACACTTAAAAAAAAATCTTAGGACAACAGGGATATTCTCTTGTAAGGAAATATAAGGGGTTGTCAGTGATAACTCTTTGATAACTCTTCTATAATCTGAGTACAAGAGCAAGAATATAATGCGAATGAATGTACAAAAATACACTACTACAAAGTAAAAATGAATTTTAAATCTTCTAATACTCTACACGTCTCTGATGGTGTCAATTCAAAACGTGTTTCTGACTCAAAGTTAACTCAACTTAATCAGAGTATAAGAAGTGGAATTTTCAGGTGCCACACAGAGGAAATGCCATTGTCCAGAAACACACTATAATTGCGGAGCACATGTACACTACATTGGCCAGTCCTAGGTGGGACTTTCAGTTCTTGCACTACCAGCCATATGACTTTCAACAAGTCACTAAGCCTTGATTTCCTTGTCCAAAAGTATTAATCTACTAATACCTCCCCAGGGTTGTATGGAAGACTCAGCAAGATGGTTTATATAAAGCACCTAGTATGACTCCCGGCAAAAAACTGAGACTCAAAAAATATTCATTTCTTTCCTATCCTCTTCTCAGATTGTTAATACTGTCAACACCGTTGTAAAATGTTACTTTTTTTTTTTCCTTTTTGTCTTTTTTCCATGTCCGGCAACGGATCGCAACCCTCAGTGTC